ATGGGCTGTCTCCCTGCTCTTTTGATGGTTTCTTTGGCTTTGCAGGAGCTTGTCATGTTGATGAAGTTCCACTTGTCTATCTTATCTCCTGTGGCATGTTCACTTGTGGTTTTGATCAGGAATTAGTTGTCAGTTCCATAAAGTTGTCTCCTGCATCTTCTAAGGTTCTTACAGTTTGAGGTTTTATGTTTAAGTCTTTGATACATTTAGAGTTGACTTTTGTATAAGGTAATAGGTAGGGGTCTTGTTTTAATCTTCTGCATGTGGTCAGCCAGTATTCTCAGCATCATTTACTGAATAGGCTCTCCTCTCCCCAGTGGTTGGTGGTGGAGGTTTTGTCAAAGATGACTTGGTTGAGAAATTGAGGTTTTACTTCTGGAATCTCTATCCTGTTCCATTGGTCTATATGCCTGTTTTGTACCAATACCAGACTGTTTGGGTTATTATAGCTTTATAAGAAAGTTTAGTCTGGGAGTGGATACCATCTGCTTTGTTGTTGTTGTTGTTCTCTGAGGATTGTTTTGACTATTTGTGGTTGTTTATGTTTCCATATGAATTCCTGTGTTGTCATTTCCAGGACTGAGAAGAATGCTGCTGGTAATTTAATGGGTATTGTGTTAAATCAGTACATTGCCTTGGGTAGGAGGTACATCTTAACAATGTTGATTCTTCCAATTAATAAGAATGGAGTATTCTTCCATTTGTTTCTGTCATCTTTGATTTCTTTGAGCAGTGTTTTGTAGTTTTCGTTGTAAAAGTCTTTCACTTCTCTGGTTAGAAAAATGCCAAGGTATATCTTTCTTTTTTTCTTTTTTTTGGCTAATGAGATTGTCCTTTTTATTTGGGTTTCTGTTATTGGTGTATAGAAATGTGACGGTCTTTTACACATTTATTTTATATTCTGAGACTTTGCCAAAGTCCTTTATCAGTTCAAGTAGGTTTTTGACAGATTTTCTTGGGTTTTCGAGGTATAGAATCATGTTGTCTGCAAAGAGGAATAACTTAACTTACTCTTTTCCTATTTGGATACCCCCTGATTTTCTTCTTGTCTGCTTTCTCTAGGACTTCCAATACTATGTAGAACAGTAGGGGTGAGAGTGGGCACATGTTTTGTTCCACTTTTCAGAGGAAATGGCTCCAATTTCTGTCTGTTTAGCAGTATGTTGGCTGTGGGTTTCTAATAGATGGCTCTTATTATTTTGAGGTATGTTCCATCTATGCTTAAATGTTCAATGGGTTTATCAAGAAGTGGTGCTAGGTTTTATCAAAAGCTTTTTCTGCGTCTAATGATATAATCATGTGGTTTTTGTCTTATATCTGTTGATGTATTTAATTGCATTTATGGTCTTGCTAATGTTGAACCAGTCCTGGATCCAGGGATGAAGCCTACTTGTCATAGTGGATGATTTTTGAGATGGGTTGTTGGATCCGTTTTGAAGCTATCTCTTTCTAATTCAGTTTGGTGGGCTATACATTTTGAGGAATTTTTCCATTTCTTCTAGGCTATCAATTTTGTTGGCATGTAATTGTTCATAGCAGTCTCTTATGTTGTATTCTATTTCTGTAGCATCAATGTTCATGTCTCTTTTTTCATTTCTGATTTCATTAGTTTTAGTCTTCTCTCCTTTTTTCTTAGTCTAGCTAAAAAATTGTTGATTTTGTTTATCTTTTTAAAAAAAGCTCTTGCTTTTATTGATCTTTTCTATCTTTTCTATTGTTTTTCTGTTCTTCACTTTATTTTTTTCTGTTCTTTTATGACTCCCATCTGTCTACTAACTTTGGGGTTAATTTGTTTTTCTTTTTCTATGTGTAGTGTCTGGCTATTTACTTGAGAGCATCCCATACATTTTGGTACATTGTGGCCCCCTTATCATTTATCTCAATTTTTTTTATTACTCTGAATTTCTTCCTTGACCCATTGGTTGTTCAGAAGATTTTTTTTTTTTTTGTAATTTTCATATATTTGTAAAATTTCCAGTTTACCTTTTGTTTATTTCTAGATCATTCCATAATGATCAGAAAAGATAATCATAATAATGTTAATCATCTGAAATGTATTAAGACTTGTTTTGTGACCTTGCATATAATATAACCTGAACAATGTTCCATGTGCACTTGAAGCAAATGTGTGTTTTGCTGTGGTTGTGTGTTCGGTGTATTTTTCTTAGGTCCATTTGATTTATCGAGTTGATAAAGTCTGCTATCTTCTTTTTGTCTTTCTGGCTGATAGTCTCTTCATTATAAGTACATATTAAAATATCTCCTACTATTACATTGCTGTCTATTTCTCCCTTCAGATCTGTCAGTGTTTATTTTAGTTGCTCTGATCTCAAGTCCATGTATATTTATAGTTGTTATATCTTACTATTAAATCTACCCTTTTGCCATAATGTAATACTTTCCTTTGTTTCTTGAGACAATTTTTAACTAAAAGTCGATTTGGTCTGGTATAAATGTAGTCACTCATGCTATATTTTGGCTATAATTTACATGGCATATTTTATTTCATCTCTTCACTTTCTGCCAATGCCTGTTTTTTTATCTAAAATGAGTCTTTTGTAGACAGTATATTAGTTAGATTTTGCATTTAAATTGAAAAAGTCACTCAATATCTTTTGATTTAAGAGTTTAGCATTTACATTTAAAGTAATTATTGATAAATAGTAACTTACTATTGCCATTTTATTAATTGTGAGCCTTGTGTTTTGCAATGTTTTTTGTTCTTCTCTTCCTCACTGTCTTTCTTTATGATTTGATAATATTTTGCCATAATATACATTTTCTGTTTTTTTATATCTGTTGTAAGTTTTGGTTGAGTCAGTTCTGTATTTAATTTTCTTTTAATATAGTTTTCTTTTAATATAGTTTAATAATTTTTAGCAATTATTTATTTTTATTTTTTGGCTGCTTTATTTTTATTATTTTCTTCTGAAACTTATTTTTTTATATATTGAATTTTCCATGACTAGTATTCCACTGTTCTTTAGGTTTTCTTCATTTTTTTCACTTTTTTCTATGCACTTCCTAATAATTACTATGCAAGTATACTTACTCTTTCTTTTGCAGTCTTGTTATAAAGTCAATTTAGAAAATTTTTTGTTGTAGATGTTTGAAATTTTCAGTTCCAGAATTTTTATTTAGCTCCAAGTCTCCCTTGAGTCTCTCTACCAGTTCACTTATTTATATCATATTTGTCTTTAATTATTTGAGAACATTGTATTGTATATTTCTGTACACGTTCTGGTAGCTGCTTCAAAAAGACTTGACAAATTCAATTCAGGGCTATACTAGTGTAAATTTCTACTGATTACTCTTCCTCTTATTTTCCCTTAAAGATGAGTCACATTGCTTTTTCACTGTAGGTCTGCATTTTTTAATTCTGCAGTGCATAATACTAATAATATGTTGAAAAGACTTTGGACTGTTAGACAATCTTTGAAGACTTTGTTGTTGTTGCTGCTGCTGCTGCTATTTTTATGACCTTCCAATTATTGACTGATCACTCTGTACAAGGTTCACTAATGCTTTCTTATTTTTCTTGGTTTTGTGGTTTACTATGATGGATTTATGTAAATCCTAAGATGTTTCTTGTGCTCCTTTATTTTAGCAAAACTCAGATTGTCTCTTTTCTCAGAATTTTGATGAGGTTTGGTTTTAGACTTTGCTAAGATTGGTACAGAATAGTCCTTAGCCTAGCGCATAATCCTACTTTTAAGGGGGAACATTTCTGTTTCATTAAGTAAATGCATGTGGTACAAAAGATATTATCCCTATTCTGGCAACTTTCAGTGTCCCTCAGAACTGATTACTCTCTTGTATTTCTGTTCTGTTCTCAATTCCATAGCAGATGTACTCTGGTGGGTTTCACACTCTCTTAACTCTTATATGTTCAACACAAGACTCAGTTAATGGGTGGGGCTTCCCTCACCATAGCTTCCTTTTCTGTAGATTCCAGCCATTGAGGTGCAGTTAAAACTATCTTCACCCCCTTGTCCCAGTGTGACTGCCATGCTGGGCTTTCAGTAGTGCTCACTGGCTTGCAATAGGGAAGTACTTGGGACATTGTGGTGCTCACCTTTTGAATCTGCCTGCTCTCAGAAATCTTATTGTTGTGCTGCCTATTGTTCAGAGCCTGAAGACTGTCACTTCATGTTATTTTATTGAGTTATATTGTTGCTTTTGGTAGATATACTGCTTTGCAACTATTAGAAACAAGACAACAGTTACTTTTTAAATATTGATTTTAGATGTTAAATTTCTTTAGATCATATTTACTGCCATTTAGAGTAGATTTCATTCACTCTTTATTGTTTTTGATTTATGAATATACCCACTTGAGGAACTTTTGTGTGGAATCTATACATTTAAAGTTTGAGAATACAAAAATATACTTGTAGTGCTAATAATGAGATGTATTTGCACATCAACTAAGTGACACATGATAATTTGCACCAACAAGGGTTGAGAAAACGTCTTGCACGTGTTCTTACCTTTGTGAAAATCACCAATGTTGTCCCTCCAGAAAAACCAATTTTCCAAATGTTTCCTTTCTAGGAAATATAATTGCATGAAGAAATCCTTTCCTTTGGATCAACTGAACTCTTCTCTAGGGCACAGGGCAGTGTAGACTCAATGTTGAAAAAGGCCCATGTGTTTCTTCTTCTTCAGTGTGTGCCTCATAGCTTAGAAGCACCCAACCTCAAGTCACTAACTACTAAACATAAGAGAATATAGCTAGCACTTTGGGGGAACAATATCCTTTAAAAAGAAGAAAATTTATTTGTTTACATTATAAATGCCATAAATGCAAAATGTAGTATCTTAGAAAATAAAGAAAAGTGTAAGAAGAAAATTTTATTTAAGAAAGCAACCTAATTTATAACTCAGATACAAAAGCTCTTGATATGCCAGGATATATTTACTAAATCTATTATTTAAATGAATGATTCAACTTTTACAAAATCATCATTATTAACAACCAAACTGATTTGGAGGTGGAATGGTTTGCTGCATGGCAACTTGCAGATTTAAATTGAATTCACTGGTCCTTTCTTTCTTTTCTGGGCCTTGATCACCTTGAAAGAAAGTTAAGAAACACATAATGAGACTCTAGATATTGAGATGAAGTTCTGCTTAAAATTCTTCCTTCACCCACAATGTGTTTTCTTCCAATCAACTACATTATTCTCCTTCTTCCTTATCAAAGTTCAGTGTTTTTCTTTTTACCACCTCCTGGAATGCATTACTATCTTTTGAATTATCCCCTGACCACTATCTGGACTACATTAGAACACAACAGGAATTCTAAAAAGGGAGTATGACAGAAACACAGGTGACAGGGAATGGCTGATTTATCCAGCACAAAACATTCAGGGCAGGCCCTAATTAGGCCGAATGTTGGCAGGCAGATATAATAGGTGAGGTTTATTTCACGGTGCAACTACTGTAGCCTAGATTAGAATATAGGGAATTTTGAATTAGAAAATCTTATACATGAAGTAATTTATGTGCATGTGTATGCCTGTGTGCCTGGTTATATTAATATTTCTAATTTTGTTATTTGTATTTAAATTTAGATTTGATTAGTGTCATCAAGACTCCCATTTGTGGGCTGCTGCTTGTTGTGGGTGTGGCTTTGGGTATGAGACAGTGTGATATCATGTAGTATCAACCATATCTTTCTCTTGGTGGCAAATAATTGCATTTCATTAAAGAATGGCACATTTGATCTAAGATATAGTTATCCAAGGACACTTCGAGCCACTTGGTTATTTCTTTCTAGCATGAAGAGTGATGAATACTTTCCTCATTACACTTTTTAATACTTATTTATATATTTTCAATTTTCCTATGACTTCTATGTTCACTTATTTTCATTCTCATTTGTAATATCTTTTACCTCAAGCCACTTTTAAATATGTGCCAGCCTTTTTCATGGCTTCACTCTCATCTGTTTAGTCATCTTATTCATTTTGCCTAAAACTCATCATTCTGGAGTCAGACAACCTAGGCTGTCAGATCATACACTAACTGGCTGTATCAACTAAGGTTAATACTCATCCTTTATGGGTGTCAATATCAATATTTATTTTTATATCTAGAAAAAAGAAATGATGACTTCAGTATTGTTTCTTATAATTATTAGTTAAGCTATTATATTATAGTATTTTAAATATCTTCTAACATATGGTGAGTACTCGGTGTTTTCTGTTAGCGTAAATGTACATGCTATTATGATTTTCCTTTAGCATTATATTATCCAAACCCATAACTTAAACAAGAATCTATAAACTGACAAATACATATCTGGTACAAAATTACTTTTCTTTGTTCCAGATCTATATATTCAAATGTATGTATTTCCAGATTTTTGGATACATATTTTTTTGGAGATCCTGTAAACACTTCAAATTCATCCTGTCCAAAGCAGAACATGTTTTCATTCCCTGAACCATGTTCTTCTCAGTCATTCTCAATGGATAATAAAATAAAATAGTTATAATTTATCCAGTTGCCTAGATAATATTCTTGAATCATCCTTGAAAGTTTCTTGAATCTTTTATCTTTCTTACCATCACTATTTAATTTTTCATAAAGCTATGAGAATCTACTTTCAAAAAACTCATTTGTCCCTCATTAAATAAATCTTATTTGTCTTTTCTTAAATAGATTTCTGAAATAGTCTTCTATGATGTCCTGGTTAACTGGATGCCAAATTTTTTTAAAGTTCTGATTTGTGACGTTTGCAGATTTTGGTGGTGTAAATATTTCCACAATGGCTGGTTTCAAATTACCAAAGGTTTATCAAACAGCTCAGACAATTCCTGAATATTTACCAATAAGTTATCTTTAATAAGGGCATGAGTAAATTCCAGCACACTACTTATAATTGTTATCTCTACCCTCAAGACTAAGCTCTATTTAATGCAAACCTGTAGATAGATACTAGAATACTTTTTTTTGCTAAAATATAAAAGTGATCAGACATTCTTCTGCATAAATTTTTTCAACTTATGTATGTATTTTAAGCAATGAAATTTTCATTAATTTGTTTCTGACAAAGGCTATATGTTCTGACCTTTTTTTCAATCTTTGTGCTTCATTGTTTTACAGTCTTCTGTATCTACTGACTTTCAGTTGTACATAACTCAGCATGCTGTGTCATGCTTTTGGAATTTTAATGTGTCATTTCCTTTACCTAAAATTATTTCCAAAATCTTTATCTTGCTAAAAAAAAAAAAAAAAGTATCTACCACAGATCAATTTCTCATGATGAACCAGGCTGCGAGATAAGTAATATATGCATTGTTTCAAATAATCTTTTAGCCAATTCTATAATGTGAAGATGTCCAGTACTTTAGGACTAGTTAAGATATTACTGTGATATTAGACAACTAGTGAATTCAAATCAGGTCTGTATTATTCAAAGTTCTTACTCTTGTCCATTATGATATTCTCTTGCCCCACTGGTTCATGAAAATCTTTTAATCAATTTTCGTAAGTATCATGTTCTTTTTATAGCTATATGGCTGTCATTTTTTTAACATAGTTTTTTAAATCCTCCAGTTACAAATGAGTGCCAGGGCATTGTTTAGGTTCTCTTTCCACCTGTTGGACTAGTTTGTAAAACGCATGGGTAATCTGGTGTTCCCAATGTCTAAACAAAATTATTTGCCTCTTTGGCAAATTAATACTCCTCTAGCCAGTTCCCACCTTCATGAAACTGTGAATTCCACACATCAGTTTCAGCTTGTAGTCAACTGTTCTCAGTTGGAAGCAGAAGAGCCGAAGTTTATCTCCTTCCTGACACTTGAGATTGTGCCATTTTCCATTCCCCACTACATCCATTTTTCCTGTATTATCCTGTATTTCATAGATTGTATTCTTCTTGTTTACTATTTTCTGCAAAGAAAATTTAACATCTAGTTTCTGAGAGACTGTTAATAAGTACCACATATGTGAGAAAGAGACTCATGACAAATTAATAAAATATGCATGAGAGGAAGAACTGGGACAGATATACACACAGCTCAGCCTAGGACATCTCAGAGGGAACTTCTTTTATTATCTTGCTTTTTTAGCTTTTCCTGTTCTAGTCATTTTTTTTCCTGCAATTCTAGAACAATTAATATCTTTCTATTTTTCTCCAGCTCTCACCTTCAGGTCAGCTGACATTACATAAAGCACCTTGATACAGAGAATTCAAAAATTCTGGCAGGACTTTGGCTCCTGGTTCTATGGGAAAACAAATAATTGCTAAAAATATTTGTTCAGTGGATTATGAAAACTTTTGTAGGAAAAAAAGTTTTATAATTTAGCAATTCTTTTTCAACTTTCTTCATTATTCACTCTTCTCCAATATCTTGTACCCACTTACCTAACATCTTCAATTCACACTCTATAGTGTCTCACACACTTAAGCTATTACTCCTCAATTTTATAATTGCATTTATAAACAAGATCTCTTAAAGAGACTTTAAGAAAACAGGGAGGCAAATTTAAGAGGTTTAGAAGATATGTATATAGGGTTACAAAGCAGTCGATCATATAAAATGTTAGTTGAGTTAATAACAGTTGTAATTTTTGGATGGTGAGGGAAAAATGGAACACATCATCCTAACGAACATCTTAAATTTGGACATGGATATATCAGTAAAACTATGCCTTTCAATTATTATTATTTTTTTGTAAATGAGGAGGGGTTATATTGCTTCTTCTTTCAAGTATCATAGAAATCAATATTTCTCAGTTGTTCAATAATGTCTTCATAAATAAATTACTAAACAAATAAGAGACAACACAAATGTTTAGATTGTATGGATAGCTGTTGAATGTATTTGTAATTATGAGAACACCAGCCAGTCCATCCAATATTCTGAATACATGTCACAACCAGAATTCACCCTTGGCAGGGCAACCCGCTATTCAAAATAAATATATTGAAAATCATCTAGTTGGGATAGAAATCAAAGAGATGAAATTATTAGCATGTACCTATTGATCGCAATTCCATACAGTCCTAGCTCATTGTGGTTAAGAATAGATCATCACAGCTGCCAACCTTTCTTACTGAATCTTTTTCAAACTACTACATGGTTTTTGGAGTAACAAAGTTAGTAGGTCATCACTCTTACTTCCTATTGTATGAAAGTATTTCACTGCTACCTCTAGTCAAGATAAAGTCTTGGGCTCTGATATTCAAACAGAAAGCAGAGTCTGGCAGATTAAGACATTTAGTTCTAGGTATTGATGGAGAATATTTTTTAAAAAGCAATTTTTAAGGATTACCTTTTGCAACGTAAATAACCCATACACTATTGTTCCAGATGCTTGCTTGTGAAGATGAATGATCTTGGGAGTTGCATTTGCTCTCTTGATAATGCTGCTTGGGACCTCAATCTTTTGATCAAGACCAACTTCAGACACAGATGATGCTTTGTTTATCTCCAGTATTCCTTTACATTCAAAGTAATTAGATATGGCGATGGCTTTCTTCTTTATAAATTTCTCTTTCAACTTAGTGTTGAAAACCTTCACTTGGAAAAATTGACTCTCACTAGCCACTGTAGCATGAAACATCATGTTTTTCCCCTTTTCTGGGCACTCATATTTAAATGGCTCTGCTGCCTTCAGTACCATCACTATCATTGGGTCCTTTTGGAGAACACTTCTTCTGGAAGTCCCCTGACATTTAGCTGGGGCTTTCTGATTCTGTGTGGGACAGACACAGGAAAATATACTTACCAAATCTGAGCAGAAAATATAAAGTCACTTTCCCATTAAAGAAACCTCTTTCAGAACATTGAGCCCAACAATGTCCACTTATATTTGGAGCTAAAGAAAAGCTAGAGTTGAATCACTTGACAGAATAGAAAGGCTAATGAGCTGATATAGTTTACTAAGAGAAAGTTTAAGGTAGCAGACAATACACATGGAAGTTAGAAGGTTCTCATTGACTCAGAATAAACTTCCTGAAGCAGTAGAATTTTCATAAATAGGACAGAGCATGAACGATGAAGACATTGTCATGAAGTAACATGAAAGAAAAATTAGAATATAATAACCAATCCAAATATACTCTCTGCCAGCTTAAATCACTAAAGACAATCAAAAGAATGGGGAAAAAACCTTGGGTAGCTAGCCACAAGCCTCAAACATTAAAGATTTGTAACTATCATTAGTGTACTCTGCCATTTTTAGGGTCCAACTCTTTTGTCTTTTCTTAAGAAACAGTGCTATGCTACAAGTGGTGAGAAAGACAAGTACTGGTTAAACATGTAAACAGGCTCAGGTGGAGAGTCTCAAATTAAAGTCATGCCCTTAACTGTATGCATCGATTTCACAATGACTAGAACACTAACAAAAAACACAGAACAGGTTTATTTCTAATCTCCTTTCTCCACAGCAGAATACTTTCATGAAAAGAAAGTTGCCTGATCTGTAATAGGAAGTATGGGAAGGGACCATCGGTTCATATGAATTAGTATAAGGAGCCCAGGCATCTGCCTCCGCAGACAAGAATTGCTTAGACAGTCCTGGTATATTACACACCATGGTCATATGTGAGTAATTGGACTTTACTTGAGTGTAGCTTCTCACCATTGTGAATAATTTGCCATAACACAGAAAACACTTTTAAACCCAAAACAAATCAGTAACAAAAAGTCATATCTGAGAGCAACAACAGTAACAGTGCACTGATTAAAATTTGAAGAACAGGACACGTATACCTGAGTTAAAGAAGCATTGGATGGTCTTGTTGATGAGATCTGGGAAGTGTTGGATGGAGTCGATAATGGGATTTGGACAGGTGGGGGATGACCCATGGTTGCAGATGTGCTGGCTTCTGAGGGACAGGGAGGCTGACTCTTTTCCTGGGATGTCTTATTGCTTTTGGCTTTAGTCTTTTCTTTGGTAATGCTTTTTCTTTTCTGAAAGTAGTTTAATTTTCCTGTTAATAAAGTTCATTATCAAAAGAAACAGAGCATATTTTCATTACAGTACAATAGGTCCTATTTATATTGGATATATATCCTTGGAAACCCCAGGGAATTACAACTTCTTACCTGAAGATATATCCAGTAGATAAAAGTAGGTTTAGATTATTGCATTAAAACAGAGATGGGTGATTTTAACAGATGCATTATTCTGCTCATCAACTCTGTGGTGTGGAATTTAAAAATCTAGATTTGTGTACGAATGGACAAGATGCATTTTAATTCTGACCGTCATTCCATTTTTATCATAAGGATAATATATTTATGCCACATAAAACTTTATTGTATTTTTATTGTGCCTAGCTCTTTGCCTGGCACACAGATGATCTCTAATTACTAATTTGTCAAATCTAAGCTATTTTGAAATATTAATGAAGACCCAGCGGCAGAGTATACTATCTTCTGTGAGACTTCAATCATACTCTTTCTTCACAAGCTTACCTGCACTACAGATGTTTTCTCTCCTCCTTCAGATGTCAGAGTGTGACTTGTGGTGGGTACATGTGCAGCAGGGCCAACTCCTTCCTGGTTTCTCTTTTTTGCCAGAGTTGTCCTTTTTATTTTCCTAGCAACTAATGAAAGAAGAAAAAGTTACACAATAAACTCAGAGCAGCTTGCTAAGACAGCCAAAGCAGTTTCAATACTATTTGCTCTAAGGGTTCAGGTGTGTTTGAGGGTTCAAGTGTGCCTTAGTCTATTTCCACTATAGTAGCCCAGCCTGGTCCCACAGAGACCAGGAGACTCATGCTCCTGAGTGATTTCCTCATTTCTCTCCTGTGCATGAAGCATATCATCTCAATCCTACAGACAACATGTGCCTCAACCAACCATTGCCTAATCCTGTTCTCCTATTATTTTCTTTTAAGTATCAAAGGCTTTTATGACACTGACAATTCACTCACGTTCTGTGAATATCTGTTCAAATTATAGAAACCAGTGAAAATAAATGATCTGTATTGTGATGTGACAAGTGCTGATACTGGCCTTTGAATTTTAAAAAATTCCAGTGATTTAATAAGTGAGAAAGTTCTACACATCTTTTAATAGAACTATTTCCTGCCGTAAATTGATTAAATATAAATATCTTTTAAAATAAATTACATTAAAATGAATTTTTATCATTTTCAAATTAACTTTTGTCATTTTCTAATATTTCTAATGTACTGCAAACCCCACTCTCCAAATCTCTCTGTCTTTTGTTATTTTTCTCCACTCCTCCCAAATACATTCTCCAAAATACATCAATCCTCCTTTGTAGAAAACAGAATGTCCTGATTGCCAGCTGGTTGGCCTCTGAGGTACCAACATTGCCATGGTACTGAGACATAAAATGGGAAAGGAATGTATAAACTATAACCAATGGGGTGGGGTTATACTCAAGACAGGTCACTCAGGGCAGAATGGTCATAGGCGAGATTTTCCCTATTACCTTTTGACTTCTCTTTTCGAAGGTTGTTAACAAGGTCATGTAATTCCATATATTTGAACAATTCGATTAATTTGTTCACACAGGCAGCACCTTTGAATTTTTTTTCCAACAAATTACAAACCATAACTCTGGTATATTTATCTTGCGTTTTCTTATTCAGGTTTAAATCATCAGCGAGTAAAGACTTAACTATTATAAAATGATGGTCACTCAATTGCTCCAATCCTTTCAGCAGGACAATTCTCTTGTATTCACTGACCATCTCTGAAGTTATAGCTCAGCCTACAAGAGAAAAAAATTACTTACAGTGCTACATATTTATATAGGCAATTAAAAAAATGAGATATGCCAATGTGAGTGAGTATCCCATGCCAAAGTGTTGTCCCCGGATGTATGTAAGAAAGAGGGACTAAATTATCAACTGTGTCACTGTGAACAATGGATTAAGACTTGCTGTACTAGGAAGATCAAAGATACTTTTAACAATGATAGTTTAGTTGGGTCAGAGATGGCTGTGGTGGAAGGATGTTTGAAAGCAGGCAGTTGCTTCAGTGTTTAAATTGTGATCTGAAGTGTGTCAAAGTCCCTAGTTCTTTTTCCCATCCTTTACTGTGGCTGCAGCTTATTCCTTAATGGCTGTCTGTTGGTTTCTGACTCTTCCTACACCTATTATGACTGAAGTGGCCTATGTGTAATGGCTGCAGTCTTCTACCTTATGTGAAGAACCTTTTGCATAGCACTACAATTCTGTGCTAGGGTATTGACCCTAGTCTCCTTGGCTCACCTCTGATCAGCTCGTATTAGCATTCTGTCTCCCTAGGTCTTTGGCCTTTTCCTCTGCATTTTAAGTGTCCATATAATTGTCATTTTTCTGGACTTCTCTCTGCTCCTTGGTTCAGAATTGCAGAACTTATTTTTTTATCTTGATTTAACTCTCAGCTACCTCTAACTAGTTATATTTTTACATAAAGGTTCTTATGGAACAACCAGGTAGTTTTCTTTCTATAAAAGCTAGTTCTATTTTTCTTAAAAGTTTTCAATAAGTCTCCATTTTCTTCAATAAAAATCTCCGCTGATTAGCATTACTTAAAATGCCTTGAATGAGCTTTTTAAAAACTTCTGTTACTTTTGTATTTCTTATAGCTTATGATCTAGTAAGCACATCTTACTTTTTCAGGTCTTCTTATTGTTAATTCCCTTTTTGCTGCCTGGAAAAGCATTCTCACTTTTCTTCCTCTGAACACTTTCTTACACTTCTCAATGCTGAACTGAAGCTTTATCTTTTGGGAGCTATCATGGCTCTCAGTTTCACTTATCTAGGCCTCTTTAATACATTGTGCACTTTCTAATGCTGTTAGTATGTGGAATATATCTTAAATTTTTACTGTTTAAATTTATGAATTCCTTTAGGGTGGGGACAATGTGTTTGTGTAACTTCTGTACAGAGTGTTCAGACTCATAGGACTATGAATTGTTCTTTATTGAGAGAAGATGAGCATCTCCAGATTGTTCAGGCCCATCAAATGAAGAAGAAAAAAATCTACACAAAGAAACATTGTAGTAAAACAGAAGAATATTAAAAAACAAAGTGAATAACTCTGAAAACTTCCAGAAATGCTGAGCAGAACACTTACAAAGATGAAATAAAACAGTTAAACAGTCTGCAGCAGGTCAAGAGAGTAATTTTTATGAAGTACTGGTTCAAAACTTTATGCCTGCAATTTCATCTCGGTTATTCATTTTATTTTAGTGTGAAGTCACAGGGTTTACCACAGAATATTAATGCATTTGATATTGAAGTGTTGCTCTTACTTCCACAGGGGCATCTTGCAGTGCTATACCTACAGTGTATGCATTAAAAAGCCTTTCTAAATCTCCCAGAAAATTGAATTTCAAAACAGAACTTGTCCTAAGGGTTTTAGATGAAGTTCTATGAACCAATAGTCAAGCAAAACTATTTTTCCAATTAAGAATTTGAATCTAGTCAAAATATTATTTGAATATTAAGACTTAAAAGTAACTATTCTCTTACTTATGGAAAATTACATAAGCAAGATTGAAGAAAAGGAAGTTCCAGACCATCATTTCTTTATGAAAACAAATAAATAAAAATATAGAGACCAAAATAATTTTGTCAGAACTGTAGAAGCCAGTTAATAAGTGGCTACACCAAAGTAAATTCTAAACAAAGAAAAAGCCCTACTAAAATAAGAGAAAGTTCCTATGTGTTTTTGCTTGTCCCTGTCTCACTTTCTCCCTGGCATGGTGTGGCATGGTCAGGAAGAAGCTGCCTAACTCCTCATTCTTCCCTTGTTATAGAAGAGAAAGAGTGAAACAGTTTATTTGTCTGAAGACTGCCTAAGGGATCACTGTCATATCCCATGACTTGGAGAATTGATGGAAAAGGTGTTATAGTTTGAAAGTCAGGTCTGAGAGTGCAAAAAAAGCAGTGGTGGATGCTACAGACTGTGAGAGCTACATGGGATTTGCTGCCAGTGGGTACCAAGGTCAAAAGACTATGAAAAGATGAATACAACAGAATATTTAAGGGCCTGGTAAGAAGCAAGGAGAGACTCTTAAATATATGAAGACTTAAAAGCAGTGTGTATATAAAGAATTGTAAGAAAAGCATATACACAAAACTAGGAAGTACAAATATCCATAAAAACCAGAGAGACTTCACATTGAACTGAATAGTAAAAGTCTTCCCCTTCATGGAACCAGGTAATATAAAAGAACAAAATAAATCTCTAAAACCTTCTCAAAACACAGGCATCAGATTTACTTGACAAAGTCTTTAAAACAACAATCTTAAATATGCACAATGAGCTAAGGAAAAAGATGGACAGAGAAGTAAATAACCTCAGAAAAATGATGTCTGGACAAAATGAGAATATCCACAAAAAGATAGAAATTACAATCCTCTACCCCCAGAAATTATAGAGTTGAAAAACATATAAACTGAATATAAAATTTTACCTCAAGGGTTCTTCAGTTCACACCAATAGGTAAACTTGATGATATGTCACATGGAATTATTGAGGCTAAAGAACAAAATTTTTAAAAAAAAATATGAAAGAAAGTGAACAGAGCCCAAGGGAATTGTAGAACACCATCAAGTGGCCTGATATATGCTTTGAGTGAGTCTAAAAGGGACTTGAAGAAGAGAAAGGGATAGAGATTATTTGGATAAATAATGGCTGAAAACTTTCCAAATTTGAGGAAAGGCATAGATATACAGATACAAAAAAACTGAGTGAATCCAAATATGATAAACTCAAAGGAATTTGCTGCATAACACATTATTATCAAACTACCAAAACTCAAAGAAATGAATTTTGAAAAGCACATATAAACAATTTGTCATATATAAGAATTCCTTAGTAAGATTAACAGCAGATTTGTCAGCAGAAACTTTTCAGACCAGAAGGTAGTGGGATGATATATTTAGAGTGCTGAAAGAAAAAAAATCTGTCAACCAATAATACTATATCTGGGAAACTGTTATTCCTAAATAAAAATTTTAAAATTCCCAAAAAAACATAAACTGAAGGAGCTCATTACCATTAGACATGGTCCATAAGAAGTATTAAATAAAGTCCTTCAAGCTGAAATACAAGGGTGCTAGGTAGTAACTCAAATAAAGAAAATATTAGTTCTTCATGAAAGATAATTATATAGACAGATATAAAAACCTGACTTTTGCAATATTAATCTGTGACTACTTTTTATTATTTTATAGAATTAAAAATATAAAAGCAAAAAATTCAAACATCTATGTTAATGATACACAATATGGAAACATGCAGTTTGTGAAATCAATAACACAAAATTTGAACTGGGAAACTGTAACAGAGTAAAGATTTTGTGTATGACTGGAGTTAAATTGTTATCAGTTGAAAATAGATTGGTATGATGTAAGGATGTTTTATGCAATCACCATGATAACTACAAAGGTAATATTGGTAGAATATACCCAAAAGGAAATAGAAGAAAACAAAAATGTTATTACAAATAATTAACACAAAAAGGCAGTAAGAGAGGAAATGAGAAACCAAAAAACTAAAAGACATATAGAAAACAAATAAAATGGCACAGTCCTTTCTTTTCAGTAATTAGTTCAAATGTAAATGGTTTAACCTTACCAATCAAAATGCATCTAATGACTCAATAAATTTTAAAAGCAGGATCTAACTATCTGTTGTAAACAAAAAACTAACTTTAGAGTTCTAAGAACATGCATAAGTGTACAGTAAAATAATTGAAAAGGTATTTTATTCAAACAGTAACCAAAAGAGAGCAGAGTTTGCTATACTAGTATCAGACAAATCAAAATTTAAGTCAAATATTGTTACAAAAGACAAAGAAGGACATTATATAATGATAAAAGTGTCATGTAACTTAGAAGATATAAAAATCATAAACATACATGCACAAAACACCAGAACGCCTAACTATACAAAGCAAGCACTGACAGAATTGAAAGGAGAAATAGCTCTGGATCAATTGCAGGAGATTTTAATTTTCCATTTTCAATAATGAATAGAAACAGCCTCACAAAAGATCAATAAGAAAAACTAAACTGACATAATAGAAAAAAGAAGAGACTCAAATAATAAAATCAGAAATTGAGATGAGACCGTTGCCAAATAATTGACAGAATAAGAAGAATTTTAAGAGAATACTATGAGCAATTGTACACCAACAAGTTGGATGACCTAGATAAAATGGACAAATTTCTAGAAACACACAACCCATCAATTTTATTTCATAAAGATCTGAACAGGCATTTGACTGTAAGGAGATTGCATCAGAAACACAATACCTCTAAACAAAGAAAAAAATCACACTGGATGATTTCACTGGTGAATTCTACCATGCATTTAGATGAGAATTCAGACAAACCTTCTTCAAATTTTTCCAAATATTGAAAAGGAAGAAACACTTTCAAACTTATCTGTAAATCAATATGACTCTAATACAAAAGCCAGACAGAGGCATTAGAAAAAATGAAAACTACTGACCAATATCATTTTTGCATATTGACACAAAATTTTCTTACAAAATACTAGCAAACATAATTGAATAGCACTTTAAATTGATTTATGAACCATAGCCATTAGAGAATAATTCCTGGAATGCAAGAATGGCTCACCATATGAAAATCAATCAAGGTAATACAAAACCTTAACAGAATGAAAAACAAAAAACACATGATTATCTCAATATCTTTTAATGATAAAAACACTCAACAAACTAGAA